AGAAGATGGGGGACTCGGCTTCCTGTGGAAGGGGCTGGGAGTGTCGGTGATACTGAGGAGGAGAGGCCAGCGTGGCCAGGTTTACCAGAACCTTAACTGCTTCGGTAACAGACATCCCAATGCAGGAGATGGGCTGGGAGACCCCAAAACCACAGGATGAACCCAGAGCCTCATTTTCACTTGCAAATTTGTACCGTGGGTGGCGGGGGATGCAGAAGGGTAGGTTACAGAATGTCACTCACTGGTAAGTACTTGAAAATCTTTTTATATGAAAACTCACATGGATAGACTGATGGAGGTGAATACAAAATTGGCAAAAATTTTGAGTATAAAATGTGAGATTTCAAAGGACTTTCTTCTGGGTATGTTCTGGCTTCAACTCCATGGACCCCGTGGGGCTCACTTCACTCTCCCCAGCCCTCTGGGTAAAGCAGCAGTTCCTTGGGAACTTCCTCTTCAGCTTCCCCCTAACTGCTTTGGCCCCGGGGAGCTGGGAACGAGCACCTTCCTGCTTCTCTACTCACATTCGGGGACATCGACCCCTAACACCTGTTTTTCTTCTCTGTTGACAGCCTTCATATTTCTTTTCCTTTTTTTATTTTTTGAGACGGAGTCTCACTCTATTATCCAGGCTGGGTTGCAATGGTGAGATCTCTGCTCACCACAACCTCTGCCTCCCTGGTTCAAGCGATTCTCCTGCCTCGGCCTCCCGAGTAGGTGGGACTACAGACGTATGCCATCATGCCTGGCTAATTTTTGTATTTTTAGTAGCGACGGGGTTTCCACCATGTTGCCCAAGCTGATCTCAAACTCCTGACCTCGTGATCCGCCCTTCTCAGCCTCCCAAAGTGTTGAGTTTATAGGCCTGAGTCAACTCACCATGTTACAACCTCCATATTTCCATCCTCAACCCCAGTATCTCTCCTAAGCCCAGACCTGGCTTACCTCAGCTTCCCAGACCCCTCTTCTTGGACATCCCTCAGGGCCCCACACACCCACTGGATCCCACACCCACCTCAGCTTCTTCCCGGACCCACGCCTTCTCCTAGGTCCTGTCTGGGAGAGCAACCCCCATTCAGCCTCCTGAATGTCCCCCACCTCCCCTTACTCCCTGCCCTGGCCCCATCCTGGGCTAGCCCCATCTGGGTCCTTGCACTGGGCTCCTGGCCTCAGTCTCTTCTCTGGTCCAGGATCTTCCTAAAGCCAAACCCTCCTCTGCAAAGACACCCCCATGGCTCCCCAGGGTTCCTGGGACAGTCTGAGCTCCTCAGCCTCTAGCATCCCAGCCCTTCCCACGCCATCCCTCTTCCCCAGCTCTGTTTCCAGCACATATGTTTGTTCCCCACCTCAGGCTGGAAGGAAACACTAACCACATCCTCTGCTTGTGATGAAGGAGGATCTTAAGCAAGTGACATATGAAGCTATTGAAGGAAAGTGGGTTCCGGCTGGGCATGATGGCTCACGCCTATAATCCCTGCACTTTGGGAGGTCAAGTTGGAGAGATCACTTGAGACCAGGAGTTCGAGATCAGCTTGGCCAACGTGGTGAAACCCTATCTCTACTAAAAATACAAAAATTAGCTGGGCGTGGTGGCACGTGCCTGTCATCCCAGATACTCAGGAGGCTGAGGCAGGAGCATCGCTTGAACCCAGGAGGCGGAGGTTGTAGTGAGCTGAGATCGCCCCATTGCACTCCAGCCTGGGTGACAGAGTGAGACTCTGTCTCAAGAGGAAAAAAAAAGAAAGAACATGGGTTCCTTCTTGAATGCTCCCCTTATTCCCCCCACCAAAGGTAATGTTCTGGGGGAGAAGGAAGCCTGAGTGCACCTCCTAGCATCTGGGGGAGAGGCAGTTGGAAACTGCACCCAGGGTCCCTTGCTTCTCAATTTCTAGAGATCCAGCCTTGCCCTCCTCTCCGAGATCCTCCTGGAAGGCTGTAGCTCCATTGTTCTCAGCTTCTGGGAAGCTGAAAGGAGGTTCTGGGAAGAAGAAAGTGATGTACAGGCCGTTGTTTTCCCACGGGAACCTCTGTCCTCAAATCCTCCAGACCTCCACATCCAGGCATCTGGTGCCGTCTCCTGCCTCTGCCTCTGGTCACTTCCACAATCCAGGAGCCCAGGCCTCTAGCTTCCTCCTTCCGCAAACTCAGGAGTTCAGGTCTGCAGTCCCCTCCTTCCTCAGGCACAGAAGCCTCATCTCCACTCCCCTCCGTCCTCAGAACACAGGTTCCCAGCCCCCTTCCTAGGATCCTCAAGTTCAAAAGAGGCTGAAAACTTCTCTCTCAGCAGGCTCAGGAGTCCTGCCCCTCTCCCCACCGGGCCCGCCGCCTCTTTTCTAATTTTTTAATTTATTTTTATTTTTATTTTTTGAGACAGAGTCTTGCTCTGTCACCCAGGCTGGAGTGCAGTGGCACAATCTCAGCTCACTGCAGCCTCTGCCAGTTTCAAGCAATTGTCCTGCCTCAGCCTCCCAAGTAGCTGGGACTACAAGCAGCCGCTGCCAAGCCCAACTAATTTTTTTGTATTTTTAGTAGAGACGGCGTTTCACCTTCTTAGCCAGGGTGGTCTTGATCTCCTGACCTCATGATCCACCTGCCTTGGCCTCCCAAAGTGCTAGGATTACAGGTATGAACCACCATGCCTGACCTTTTTTATTTTTGGAGACTGGGCCTCACTCTGTGACCCAGGCCAGAGTCCAGTGGCACTATCTCAGCTCACTGCAGCCTTGATCACCCTGGGTTAAGCGATCCTTCCACCTCAGCCTCCCAGTGTGTGCCACCACACCCAGCTATGCCCCTCTTGTCTTAAGATGGTCTTCAGGTCTCAGCTTCTTCAGCTTGTGCCTTCAGTGCCTTATTCTGTCTGAGAAACTTAGATCCCTCACTCTTTCCAAATGTAACCACTTCCCCAATATTCAAAGGGCTTCCTCCGATGCTGGGTGCTCTGGCTCACACCTGTAATCGCAGCACTTTGGGAGACTGAGGAGGAGGGTGGATCACCTGAAGTCACAAGTTGGAGACCAGCCTGGCCAACATGTGACACCCTGTCTCTACTCAAAATAAAAAAATTAGATGGGCATGGTGGCACCCACCTGTAGTCTCAGCTACTTGGAAAACTGAGGCAGGAGAATTGCTTGAACCTGGGAGGCAGAGGTTGCAGTGAGCCAAGATCACACCACTGCATTCCAACCTGGGCAACAGAGCAAGATTCCATTAAAAAAAAAAAAAAAAAAAAAAAAAGGGCCAGCCACGGTGGCTCACACCCGTAAACCCAGAACTTTGGGAGGCCAAGGCGGGCAGATCACCTGAGGTCAGGAGTTCGAGACCAGCCTGACCAACATGGAGAAACCCAATCTCTACTAAAACTACAAAATTAGCGAGGCATGGTGGTGCATGCCTGTAATTCCAGCTACTCGGGAGGCTGAGGCAGGAGAATCGTCTGAAGCCGGGAGGCAGAGGTTGAGGTGAGCTGAGATTTCACCATTGCATTCCAGCCTGGTCAACAAGAGCGAAACTCCGTCTTAAAAAAACAAAAAAGGCTTTCTCAGAATAAATTGCTTTCTTGTCTGTCTTTGGTCTTTTTTTTTTTTTTTTTTTTTTTTTTCAGCTTTATTGAGACACAATTCAATGGATTTGGGTATATTTAGAGTTATGCAACCTAACACCACAGGCTAACTGTAGGATATTTTCATCACCCTGAAAAGAAACCCTACACCCGGCTGGGCATGATCATTCATGCCTGTAATCCCAGCACTTTGGGAGGCCGAGGCGGGTGGATCACAAGGTCAGGAGATCGAGACCATCCTGGCTAACATGGTGAAACCCCGTCTCTACTAAAAATACAAAAAATTAGCCCGGCGTGGTGGTGGGCATCTGTTGTCCCAGCTACTTGGGAGGCTGAGGCAGGAGAATGACATGAACCCAGGAGGTGGAACTTGCAGTGAACCTAGACTGCACCACTGCACTCCAGCCTGGGCGACAGAGTGAGACTCCACCTCAAAAAAAAAAAAAAAGAAAGAAAGAAACCCTGCACCCATTAACAGTTAATCCATTCCACCTACAGCCAGCCTAGGCAACCACTAATCTTTCTGCCTATTCTGGACACTTCATATGAATGGAATCATCATGTGATCTTTTGTGACTGGCTTCTTTCACTTAACGTTTTCAAGGTTTATCCATGTTTAGCATATATCAGTATATCAGTCCTTCGTTTCTTTTTAGTGCCAAATAATGGTTATGGGCCTGGGGTAGAATTGCTAAATCATGCAGCAGCTGTGTTTCATCTTTTGAGGAACTGACAGTGTTTCCTGAAGTGGCTGCACCGTTTCACATTCCCACCAACAATGTATGAGGGTTCCAATTTCTGCACATCTTCACCAACACTTGTTATTATTTCTCTTTTTAATTACAGCCATTCTAGTGAATGTGAAGTGATATCTCATAGTTTTTTGTTTGTTTGTTTGTTTGTTTGAGACAGAGTCTCACTCTGTCATCCAGGCTAGGGTGCAGTAGGCACAATCACAGCTCACTGCAACCTCCACTTCCTGGGTTCAATTGATTCTCCTGCCTCAGCCTCCAGAGTAGCTGGGACTACAGGCATGCACCACCACACCCGGTTAATTTTTGCATTTTTAGTAGAGATGAGGTTTCACCATGTTGGCCAGGCTGGTCTCTAACTCCTGACCTCAAGTGATCCACCTACCTTGGCCTCTTAAAGTATTGGGATTACAAGCGTGAGCCATTGCACCTGGCCTCATAGTAGTTTAGATTTATGCTTCCCGGCCGGACGCGGTGGCTCACCCTTGTAATCCCAGCACTTTGGGAGGCCGAGGCGGGTGGATCACGAGGTCTGGAGATCGAGACCATCCTGGCTAACACAGTGAAACCCCATCTCTACTAAAAATACAAAAAATGAATGGGGCATGGTGGTGGGCGCCTGTAGTCCCAGCTACTTGGGGGACTGAGGCAGGAGAATGGGGTGGACCCGGGAGGCGGAGCTTGCAGTAAGCTGAGATTGAGCCACTGCACTCCAGCCTGGGCGAAAGAGGGAGACTCCAATTCAAAAAAAGAAAAAGATTTACACTTCCCTAGTGATTGTGTCCGGCATCTTTTCATGTGCAAACTGTCCATTTGTTAGTGGTTTTTGCTTCTTTTAAAAACTGCTGAGCCATCCATAAACATTTTCAAAATGCAGGGTGTGTTTTTCAGTGTTAAGGCAACTGTTTTGATGTGTTTTCCTTTGCTCTCTATCACCAAATATTGTACATACAAATAGTAAGACTGGGCTTTGTGTTGTCCATTGTTAATCCTAAGTGCAACAAAACACATGGAGACTTTGAAAATCCTTCAGAATAATGCTATAGTTAAGATTTTGCTAAAGCAAGTGTTTTTTCTAACTCCTGGAGCTGCATATTACCTTGAGTAATCATCATCCGAATTGTATCCTCTTGAATTCTTTTGAATTCTTCCCTTGCCCAATCCTTCAGGTATTTGCGATCAGAATCATTTGGAACTTGCTGAATTGTTTGGAAAATCCTTCTGTAAAGGAGAAGAACTTGCCGCCTTCTGATGAACTGCTTTAACGTTAGTGTTGCTGGGGGTAAGTGGGAAGTGGCCATGTCTACCAGCAGTCCGCTGGAGCCTTAGCTGGTCTTTTTCCTTCTCTTTTTCCTTCTCTCCCTCTCCATTCCTTACCCTATCTCCCTCTCCCCTCGTCCATCTCTTCATCTCACCATAACCTTTTTTTCTAATTTTTTTATTTTTTTTTAAACGGAGTTTCGCTCAGGCTGGAGTGCAATGGCATGATCTCAGCTCACTGAAACCTCCACCTCCCCAGTTCAAGCAATTCTCCTGCCTCACCCTCCAGAGTAGCTGGAGTAACTGGGATTACAGGCACACGCCACTACGTCCGGCTAATTTTTGGGTCCTTAGTAGAGACGGGGCTTTACCATGTTGGCCAGGCTGGTCTCAAACTTCTGACCTCAGGTGATCCACTCACCTCTGCCTTCCTAAGTGCTGGGATTACAGGCGTGAGCCACTGTGCCTGGCCTTCACCGTAACTTTTGTGTATCTTTCCCTCTCCCACTTTTACTCTCTATGCCAATCTCTGTCCCCACCTCCCCATATCTGTCTTTCCTTTCTCTGTCCCTCCATCTGCCCTCTTTTCCCCACCCAGCACCCCTATACTTAGGCCTCTGTATGATCAGTGGCACCAGGTCAGGCTGGAGCCAGTACTAATGGGCACATCTGTGTGCAGACCCAGGGTGGATGCTGAGGGCCAGGCCCAGGCACCTAGGACTATAAGTGCCCCTGCAATGTGGCTGGCCTCAGCCCTGCTCTGGCAGGTGACCCCCAGGCCCTGGGCTCTGAGGCCAAGCCCTTCTCTGAGGTCTCCCTTGTGCCCCCTACTGCCACTGCAGTGGGAGGCCTGGAGGGAAGGCTGGCAAGAGGAACCACACTAACCGGTCTATCTCCCTCTACCCCCAGCTGTGCCTCGGTGTCTTGGGTTTCCTACAGGGTGAGTGCCCCAGAGGGAATGCAGAAAGCTGGTGAGTTGGTCTGGATTTGCAGCAGAGTGTGGGGTGGGGAGGGGCTGGTTGTGCTGGCTCAGGTTGGGAGGCTGTTTGGCATGGCTCTGTGACAGGGGATTGGCCACAGTGGAACTTCTTGGGACAGGGCCCTGGCCAGCTGGGACAAGGGGCTATTTGAGCAGACTGTGTGTCAGGGGATTGGCAAAACTGGTTCTGAGGAGGCTGGGCAGGGCTTTGGGGACAGATGGTGCAAAAGCAGTAACTTCAAGCTAATACTGATATAGATGACTTCATACCATGGCTTTGACATCAAGCTCCCCATTGTTCTGTGAAGTATGCACCAATACCCCCTTTACAGATGCAGCAGCTGAGGCCCCAAGAAATGAGGTGACTTGCCCAAATTCACTTGGCTAGAAAGCGGCCGAGTCGGCTGGGCAAGGTGGCTCACGACTGTAAGTAATCCCAGCACTTTGGGAGGCCAAGGTGGGAGGATCGCATGAGCCTGGGAGACCAGCTTGGGCAACAGAGTGAGTCTCCTCTCTAAAATAGAAAAAGAAAAGGAAGGAAGGGAGGGAGAGAGGGAGGGAGAGAAGGAGGGAGGGAGAGAAAGTGGCAGAGTCAGAATTAGAATCTGACGCATTTAGCTTCCGAATCCACCGGATTATTCTTGACTGCCTCCTCTGGGCTCCTGGTTCCCTCAAGCCCGACGGACGTCTGCGTCTTATGTTTCCAGGGCTGCCGCTTCATCACGGCTTTCTTGGAAAACGGGGGCGCTGAGAAGCCCGACTTCCAGCTATATATGTCGCCACCGCCCACGGGGCCCCCGACGGCGCTGCTGGTGACAGCTCTCCCTGCGTGGGCGCCACTCTCCCCGAGCGCCCCGCGCCTGCAGCCAGGCACGACGGTGTGGGTGCGCCCGCCCGGCGCAGAGGAGCTGCGGGGCTCGCAGCAGGCGGCGCTGTGCAAGCAGCGACGTCGCGGCCGGAGGGAGTGGAGGCGGTGAAAGCGCGTGGGCGCGCCTCCCTGGACTCGGCACTGGCTCTGCGGCGCCACCTGCTGGACACTCCCTACTCGATGGTGGCTCCGTCGCTGCCGCCCGGCGACCTGCACAAGCAGTTTGCGGTGGTGGCGGGCGCTGGGCCCACGCTGTTGAGGCACCTCACGCCCCCTGTGCCTGTTCTACTGGACCGCGTAGACCACCCTACCCGCTGGCCCCATCTCCTGAGCCTTGAAGGCTTCCAGACGCGCTGCAGTTGCAGAGAGCAGGAGACCTATCCAGCACCCGTATCGTGGCTGCCCATCCCGTCGCGCTGCTGGCTGGCTTCAATTATCTGCAAGAGAGAAGCAAGGCCTGTGGCCACGCGTTCGGAAAACCGCCGCCCCATGATCCCTGGAGTGGTCTCCACACGGTGCCCCACTTAGCACCTGCGCGTCCCGGGCGCCGAGACCGCGTGTTCCCGGAGGGTAGTGGTCTGGGTAGCCTCAGCTTCTGGTGCTGCGACGCCGACGGGGCGTGGGCTCTGCGCCCTGGCACGATGCTGCGCTCTGCGGTGGACCAGTGCACCCTCTGGCGTTGCGCTCTTCAGCCGACATGCAGGTGTTTTTCCCGGAGGCCGCCGTGGGCCGCGGGAGTTGACACCTACAATCCCTCCTTCGCGCTTATGCCCTGGTGGGCGCGTTCAGCCGCAGCCTCGCAAGCATGGCGCAGCCAAACTTTTCCAACGTGGAATTTGCACCTGCCCCGGTGCTCCTGGACTGCCAGCCACTACCCGGCCTGCACTGGCGCCCTGTCCCTGCTGGCCCCGAGCCGCGTCATGAGCAGCATTCTGACTAAAGGCTGGTCCCGGCTCAGGGTTTCGCCTGGACTGAGGTGGCTTAGGGGCGTAGGTGAAGCGCAGTGCACCACATCTATGTGACCTTGGATAAATTATTTAACCTCTCTGGGCCTCAATTTCTTCATATGTGAAATGAGAATGATGAAAAGATCTGATTCATATGGCAGTAGTGAGGATTACATGAGCTAATATATGGAAAGCACAGAAAATATGCGAAGCTAGGACCCGATACATGAAGCCATGATGCTGCATACCTGCCTCCACACCGCCTGGGAGTTCACCCTGCCACTCAGGGGTCAGGACGTTCCCCAGTGCTCTTAAGGCTCCCCAGCATCCAGCAGCCCCCACCCCAGGTAACCAGAACCTTCAGATTCTCAGGGCTCCAGATTTATACTCTCACCAACATGATCCCTCTTTTCCAAGGATTGACACTCCTGTATTCCTTCCTTAATTAATTGGAATTTTAGATTTTTTTTTTTTTTTTTTTTGAGACTGAGTCTTGCTCTGTTGCCCAGGCTGGAGTGCAGTGGTAAGATCTTGGTTCACTGCAACCTCTGCCTCCCAGATTCAAGCAATTGTCCTGCCTCAGCCTCCCAAGTAGCTGGGACTACAGGCATGTGCCACCACACTCGGGTAATTTTTATGTTTTTAGTAGACACGGGGTTTCACTATGTTGGCCAGGCTGGTCTTGAACTTCTGACCTCAGGTGATCCACCTGCCTCAGCCTCCCAAAGTGCTGGGATTACAGGAGTGAGCCACCACACCTGGCCAAGATTTGGGCAGAGACCAATAGCCAAACTTTATCAGACACTAACAAGATCCCTGTGGCTGCCAGTTGAGAACAGATTACAGGGTTTGTGAAGGAATGAGGCCTGGAGGAACAGTGAGGAGGCTGCTGCAGTAGTCCCAGCAGGAGAGATGGGGCCTCACCATCTTGCCCAGGCTGGTCTCGGACTCCTGGGCTTGAGTGATCCTCCTGTCTTGACTTCAGAAAGTGCTGGGAGTACAGGCGTGAGCCATTGCACCCTGCCAGCATTTTTTAAAATGACTTAATAGCACAATGTCTGGCATGCAGTAAATATTTGCCAGTATTATTTTGCAACAATTTTTTTTCATTTTCTTCAGGCTAGGCCTGTTCTAGGCACTGCAGATGCAACAGTGAACAACACAGACAACATCCCTGCCCTCAGGGAGCTAACACTCAAGTTCAGTCCATACGAAAACTATATTCCATCATTTTTTTTTTCTGTATTCCATTGTGGTAGAAAATATGCAAAGCTCTACAGAACACAATATTCTTCTTAAAGGTTCACTTTGGGGTCAAGCATGGTGGCTCATGCCTGTAATCTGAGCGCTTTGGAAGGCTGAGGTGGGCAGATCACTGGAGGTCAGAGTTCGAGACCAACCTGAGCACCATGGCAAAACCTCATTCCTACTAAAAATACAAAAATTAGCCAGGTGTGGTGGTGCATGTCTGTAATCCCACCTACTTAGGTGGCTGAGGCATGAGAATCTCTTGAACCCAGGAGGTGGAGTTCACAGTGAGCTGAGATCACACCACTGCATTCCACCCAGGTGATAGAGCGAGACTCTGTCTCAAAAAAAAATAAAAATAAAAATAAATAAAGGTTCACTTTGTAGGTGGCTAGCTTCATGCACCGATAACAATGAACAAATAACATCCCTTCCTGGGAAGACGGAAGGAATATATGTCTCCAATTCCCCACAGTGCGCGCGCACACACACGCACATTCTACTCTCAAGTCTGCTTAATATGGCAGGTTGAAGTCCTCGATGGCCAGAATCAATGCATGGTACATTTGCACTGGCATAGAGATGCTCTCATAATTGAATCTGGCTGTCTTCAGATGCAGCCTGTGCTCTCGAGCTCCCTGCAGACCTATTCTACACCCAGACTGTGCTGATCATTTTGTCCCTCAGTCCCACTCTTCTTTCTGCTGATACATACAGACCCAGTTTATTTTAAATTGGGAACACTGATAGCTTCTGAATGTTGAGTGTCCAGGGCCAGGGACCCTGGAGGCCTGGGGTATCAAGGCAGATTTGATATGAGGCTAAATTCCAGGATCCAATTCTATTGCATCCTTCCCCCATCTCATCTCCAGATATTCTGACTGAGGAGGAAGTGAGCCCTTCCATAGAGTCCCATCCCCTCCTAGAGTCTTCCCTGGTGATGCCACTCCAGTTCCAGGTCTCCTGTGAGGGCCATACATGCTCTGATGGGACCACATGTCAGCTTGTGAAGCACAGACTTAAATGTGTGGC